CCCATGTTATGTTTCCTAATCTGACTGAACACCTCGGCTAAGTCGGCAGCATGACCTTCGGCCGAAGTGGTTTTTACCACCATGTTGTCAACGTAGACTTCCATATTCCACCCAATCTGTTGGTAGAAAACCTTGTCCATCAGTCGTTGGTAAGTGGCCCCTGCAATTTTGAGACCGAATGGCATCACTCGGTAACAAAAATTGGCATGGTCGGTGATGAACGATGTGTGCACTTCATCTGGTGGGTACATCATGATCTGGTTGTACCCGGAGTAAGCATCTAGAAAGCTGAGGAGGGTGTTCCCGGATGCTCCGTCGACCAGCCTTTCGATGCTCGGTAAGGGGTACGAGTCCTTGGGGCATGCTTTGTTCAAGTTGGTGTAATCGACGTACATACGCCACTTCCCCGAGCTCTTCTTCACTAGTACCACGTTCGCCAGCCACGTGGTGTATCTGACTTCGCAGATGAAGCCCGCATTCAGTAGTTTTTGCGTCTCGGTGATGATGGCCTCTCGCCTCTCACCGCCAACCTTCCTTTTCCTCTAGGCCACTGGTTTCGCCTCCTTGTGAATTGCTAACCTGTGAGAGATAAAGTTAGCATCTATACCTGGCATGTCGGCGCTGGACCACGCGAAGAGGTCGGCGTTCTTGGAGATTTCAGTTTCAAGCTGCCGTCGTAACTCCGGGCTTAGTTGCTTGATTATTTTTTTGCATTGCCCATGGAGTTTGCCGATCTAGAGGTCATCAAGCTCATCAATGGGACTCGGTTATTCATCATGGGGGTCTGACCTCGGGTCTAGGTCAGTGATGTCCACGTGGGTGATATAAGCCACTGTAGGAGGGTCACTTTTGCGATGCTCTTCGGATGGCGAGACCTTCAGACTTTCGGCGTAGCACTGCCGAGCTGTCTTCTAGTTTGCTCTAACGGAGATGATCTTGCCCCCGCTCCTTGGGAATTTCATCGTGAGGTGCGGGGTAGACACCACTGCTCCGAGTTGGTTCAACGTTGGCCTCCCGATGATTATATTATAGAAGGTGTTGGCTTTGACAAGGAGGTATCGGACCATGATCCTCTTGAGTCAGGAGAAGTTCCGAAGGTTTTCAGCAGGTCCACGTACCCTCGGGTGTGAACTCGCTCTCCTACAAAACTGACTAGAGGTTCTGTGTGAGGTTGGATAAGGGAGTGAGGTATGTATAACCTGAGGAACGTCGGCCAGTATAAGACGTTAGCCGAGCTCCCTTGGTCGATCAGTGTCTTGTGAACCTCCCAATTGGCGACATTCACGGCGATGACCATTGGATCATCCTGGTTAGGGCAGACGCCAGTGTAGTCGTCGTTAGTGAAGGTGATCGGCGGTGTGCTTTGGTGCGAGGCCGAGGTAGCGGAGTGGACATTGTTGATGCTGCGCAGGTGCCTTTTTCGCGGCGAGCTGCTAGAGCCTCCCCCTGCGAAACCACCTGCAATTATGTTGATAACTCCCCGTAAGGGAGCTGACCCTGTTTCTTGGCTTACCTCGGCCTACACTGCGCCACTAGCGTTTTGTTGAGATCCGGAGGGCTGGTCTGTGCGGGTGCCTGAACCACATCCTCGCCCTCGTCCTCGCCCGTTGTAGCCTCCTTGATGACCTTGCTGTCGTTGGACGTATTGTCCAAGGTGTCCCGCCTAGACGAGCTCCTCTATACGATCTCTGACTGTACGACATTCCTCGGTTGTGTGACCATGGTTCTTGTGGTACCGGTAGTGTTTGGATTTGTCCGCACTATTGGGACTGTGTCCAGGTGGTGGCAGGGTGAGTAGGTTACTGTTGCTGGCCTCCTCCAGGATGTGTACTCGGGCGCATTCATGGGGGTGTAGAAGTCATACCTCCCTCCTTTATTCGCCCTAGCAGCCTTCTTGAACTGGCTATCATTGGTTACCTTCATCTTGTCTTTGTGGCCATGGTCTAGCTTTGCCTGTGATTTGCCGCGAACCTGGTCGCGGAAAGCGGAGTGCTCTTCCATCTGGATGTACCCTGCAGCTCAGGCACGGAGTTCGTCCATATCAAGGGAAGCTCGTCGACATAGGCTGTCCATGAAAGGTCCAAGCTTGAACGCCATGAGCATGGTGTGTAGGGCGACCTCGGGGTTCAGATTTCAAATCTTGACCGAGATGTTGGCGAAGCGCTCCATGAAAGCCCTTAGTGATTCATTGTCGCCCTGCCTGAGACTGGCCAAGGCGGCTGATGTGACATGGTGAGGCCGACTCGTGGCATACTACGCCGTGAATTGCCTTACTAGAGTGTCGAAGTTGTCAATCGACTCAGCCAGTAAATGGATTTTCAAATTGAGTGCGGCTCCCTTAAGAGAGGTCGGAAAAACCCTACACAAAATAGCATCTTCGTTAGTGTAAAGGTTTACCTGCGTAATGTACAGGTTGATGTGCTCGTCCGGATTCGTCGTGTCGTCGTAGCAGTCATTGTGGAGGGGCTTCCAGCCAAAAGGTAGAGGCGTCTCCATGATGTCGTCCACAAAAGGATGGCGACGAATGCTCGCCTGATTTCTAGGAGCCTGGGCAGGGGCTTTGCTGACTTCATGGGCCGACCTATTCGTTGGTGCGTGCGACCGATGTGTGACAGGCCTGGGAGTCGGTGCCCTAGGTGCAGTTAGTGGTTGAGAAACCGAGTGCCCCTCTTCCACGTGTTGGTTACTTGGTTGAGGGGGTTGATCAGAAGGGCGCCGAGGCAGCTGGGTGCGAATACGCTCATTCTCGGCACGTAGCGCCGCTAGGTCAGTCTCGTTCGCGGTGTGCAACGCTGCCAGGTCGGTTTCGTGCTTGGCACGAATGCTTTGCAGGTTGACGGCGTGCTGCTACCGCATCTGTTCGACCTGTTCGATCAGTCTTCTCAATGCTGCTTCACTGTCCATGTTTGTCATGCGATCTACGTCATTTGTTGCTCGTCTACTATGGCTTCGGGTGAAAACCATAAGCGTGGCCAATAAGAGCTGTCTTGATCGGCCCCACGGTGGGCGCCAAATGTTCTTACCGGAGATCGGTCGTAGGGGACGATCTACTGGGTAAGATCGGTGAGCCTCCTTCACTGGGTACGCTTGCTGTTCCAAGGCAGGGGTGGTACCTGCAAAAGAGACTTCGATGCTAAAGTTAGTGTTTGTAGATGTATGTGTCTCGTATAAGTAATGCACGTACCTTAGTATGAATTAGGGTGTATTTGGGCTTTGGGCCCGAGATCAGTTGTGACCTAATTGGATAGTGGGCTGATGTCGCCCAGTGCGTGTCCGAGGTCACTCCGCGCTGTGATGTTGAGTTCGAACTCGGCATAGCGGTACGGATAGTACACTTATAAATTAATTTTATTTTCTTAACATAAATTATTAATAAAAAATAATTACCCATGGATTTATCCGTCAGTAATTACCCACGGATAAATCCATGGGTAATTATCTAATTTAATTTTTATTTATCATAATTACTTATAAATTAACTTTATTATTTTTAACAGAAATTATTAATAAAAAAAATTAATTACCCATGGATACACCCTTGGATAATTTCATGATCCGTGGGTAATTTCATGGGTAATTATCTAATTTAATTTTTATTTATCATAATTACTTATAAATTAACTTTATTATTTTTAACAGAAATTATTAATAAAAAATAATTACCCACGGATACATCCGTCGGTAATTTCGTGGGTATTATTGATAATATTTTCAAAAAATCATTTTAAAATTGTATTAAATAGTAAGCTTGTTTTATTAAAAATAATATAGTTCAAAATTGGTAAAATTATTATAAATGTTAAGAAATTATCTTTTAATTTTAGACTATCATGCATCAATATCATTTCAGTAATTATATATTTCTCAATTTAAATAAAATTAACTATATAATATTAAAATATATTGATAGTAAATTATTATTTTATACTATCATTTAATTATAAATTTTATATATATAATAGTTGGTATGGTAAATTAATTAGCATGAGAAAATTAGTTAAATATTTAAGAATTTAATTTGTTAATCTGTTATCATTAAATTTTTTAAAGTTACCAACTATTTTTTTTTTCATTTTCTACGAACAATGTTTTAGACAGATAATCTGTGGGAAATATCTGTCTGAAACATCATAATTTTCCCACGGAAAAAATTCGTGGGTAACATTCATATAAAATTTCAGAGGAAAAATTCATGGGTAATATCCGTCGGAATCATTTATGTTTCAGACGGACACATATTCGTCGAAAAAATCCATCAGTAATGTCATTTTTCAGACGAATATTTATCCTTAGAAAAAAATCCGTCTGTAATAAGTGTTTTTTTTTTGTAGGGAATAAGGAATATACTGTTAGGGAAATGTAAAAGTGGTAATCAACCTTGGGGATAACTTGGTTTGGAAGTCCCAATGCTGCCCTCGTGAACATGAGATGTATCTTGTGTGGCTTAGCTATCCTAACCAGACTCTAGTAATATGTCTTTTTAGTGAGAGTGCACAGAGGGTGTAACTTGACATGTGCTCTTAGACTACTCTAGTGTGCCGCTAGGGGCAATGCACAAGTGTGATGTTTTTATGCATGATAATATATAGTTCATTTTCATTGCACATGCATTATAATTTTTGTTATTGTTTATTATGTTATGAATGAACTATGTTTGTCATATATTACTGTATGTGTTGTTTGTGTTTGGCTAGCTGATTTACTTTCAATCTAACGGTTGAATTTACAAAATTTACATTTAATATAAAGTTATTCAGCGGTGTAATACTTAGTAAAAATTACACCGGTGTAATTATAACCTCTCTCTCTCAATATATATATATATATATA